GTCAGAAAACAAAATAGATATTTAGACTTTAAGTTTCAGCCAATCGCAGCGAAGGGCACCTGCATGCGCGTGAGATCTTGCTATTTTGACCATGTCATCATGTCTATACTACTATTATATCCTTATATTATGAGTTTCAAAGCATTTCATCCAATATTTAAAAAGTTACGGCTAAATCTATTATATTGGTCATTTCACGTGTTACACGTGCGCGCACCTGCACGCACGTGCGCGCAAAATGACCTTCGTTCCGCACATCTACATAACATACCTAGTGACCCTAAAAAGGTTTCACCTAGATCGGATGAGTAGTTTACGAGAACACTCGCGGACAAAAAAGTACCGGAGAACAAAGAAAAATTCAGAAAAAGTAAAAACAATATGTTCCCAAACTTCGTTTGGGGAACATAACTAGTGCTAATTGTAACGGGAACCGTTACAGATGTTCCCCAAACGCTCCCCAACTCCTTTTTGGTGCCATATTCCCTGTAAGCTTCATTAAATAAGACAAAGTCTGTGGATTTTTGACTTTAACAACGCTTTCTCAGAAGGATAAAATTATATTAAAATTTTAGCATTGCACCCGTGCGCATGTGAATGCATGTGCGTTATGATCATATCATCTTGTCTACACTATCTACATATTTTACTATACAATATATTAAAGCATTCAGTCCAAAAGTAAGAAAAATCACTCTTTCAAGGGTATTTTTCATTTCACTCATTCCAAATGCACGCACGTGCGTGCACGTGCATGATGACCATACCTTCTTGTAGAAGTCTTTTATATCTATCTATATTCTAAATCCCATCCAGTTTGGTTGAAAAACAAGGGAGTTATAGCCATTTCAAGTTTAAGCCAATCAGATTGCAACACACGTGCATGCGCGTGATTTCATGATTTTTTTTCTATATCATATTGTAGGATATCCTAATGCATGGCTATGTTTTAAATTTCAAAGCATTTCGTCAAAAAACAAAGGAGATATAGCCATTTAAAGTTTCAGCCAATCAGATTGCAGCACGCGGGCATGCGCATGCTTTCATGAAAATTCTTATATATCATGCTGTAGATCTTTATAATGTTGGTCTATGTTCAAAATTTCAAAGGATTATGACAAGAAACAAGAAAGATATTCAGACTTTAGTTTCAGCCAATCAGAGCAAAGCGCACGTGCATGCGCGTGAGATCTTACTATTTTGACCATGTCATTTTGTCTATGCTTCTAATATATACTTATAATATGAGTTTCAAAGCATTTCATCAATAATTCAAATAGTTACGTCTGTATCAATTATATTGGACATTTATCGTGTTGCACGTGCGAGCTCTTGCAAGCACATGTGCATGCACATGCTTCCATGATAAATCTTATATTACAGGCTGTAGATCTTCCTAATGTATGACTATGTTCAAAATTTCAAATGATTTTATCAAAAAACAAAAAAGATATTGAGACTTTAGTTTCAGCCAATCAGAGCGAAGCGCACGTGCATGCGCGTGCGATCTTGCTATTTTGACCATGTCATCTTGTGCATACTACTAATATATCCTTGCATTATAAGTTTCAAAACATTTCGTCACAAAATAGAAAAGTTGCGGTTATATCCATTATATATTGGTTATTTTAAGTTTTGCACGTGCGCGCTCTTGCAAGCACGTGCGCGCAAAATGACCTTGATTCCGCAAATCTACATAACATGCCTACTTACCCTAAAAAGGTTTCACCTAAGTCGGATGTGTAGTTTACAAGATCACTCGCGGACAAAATTTTCCCAGGAAGAAAAATAAGAAGAATAATAACTAGATGAAACTCGTTGCGAGCAACGAGAGGTCTTCCGTCCGATTCCGGAAAGAAAACGTAAAATCGATTTGAAAAGTAAAAAAAAAAAGATTTGCACACAAGGGGGATTGAACCAAAGTCGCCACATGAAATTCCAACGCACTAAATATTACGCTATCGGGACCTCTACTCTAAATCTACTTGTATATATCAATGATACAGTGCTTCTCTCTTAAAATTATGAAAGGCGGGTCACTATTCAAATTGTAGCGCCAAACGCCATGAGTTAATCTTCGCCCCTTTTCTTTCGAATGTTCTATTAAATAGGAGTGATAGCTTTAATGAAATTAAAAGAAAAGAACGTTCTTATAGCCTAAGATTCGAAGTTTAGAAAGTATGTTTAACACATTTTACAAATTCCATATTGTACATATGCATGTAACACTAAAGCGGTGAAACGGTTATGAATTTTTTTCAATTTCCTGTTTATCATCAAAGTGAACTATCCCGAATAGTTAATCGAAAAAGGTTGAAAAGTTTCGCCGGAAAACATGGCTCGCCCTACGACTGTCAGGAATCCGATATCGTTTATGCTCAATAACTTGAATCAGGTCTTTGAGACAAGAATGCTAAAATAAACTCCATGAAGCGATCTTTAAAAAAAAACGTTTTCTTATTTTTGTCTAATTTATTAATTTAATATGACACAAGTGTGCATAGGAAAAACAGTGGTTTATATTTATATTGACAAAATTAATTGATATTCTTTTTTGAGAAAGCATTACTTATAAGTATGATTTAAGATCTGTTTTTCGGCGATGCACAAGAGATATAAGGTATCGAATTTCATTTGCACATTTAGTCTTTTCTTTTTCTAGTTTGAAAACCAGCCAAAACCAATTATAGAAGACGTTAGTTTGACACAGAACTGCAACATAAATACGACGTGACAATCCAAGTATTCCTTTGCCTTTCATTTATTCTTATGTTACTTTCGTTCAAACAAACGCTCGGCTGCCTCCGTAAACACCTATTGCGAAATGTCGGCGTTGACAGAGACAGTCGCCATTTTGGACCCGCTTCAGATTTTTTAATGCTAATATCTAGAGTTTAGACTTATCACCATTCAAACAAATTATATAGTAAGCATTATTAGAAGGGTTTCTATAAACAAGCCGAAAATAAATGAAAAATACTGAAAAACAAAAAAGTTAGAAAATACGATTTTTTTAAATTTGCATCTCGTAACGACCGGAAGTATTGACGACGCACGAAAAGGTGATTCCGCAAACCACAGAGTCATGATCTATCATCTCCAAGAAGTCTCCAGTTCATATCCTAAACCGTTTTCGATAAAAAGGGGCGACAAAATTGCATTTTAAAATCAGGAAATTGTCCATAACTTGGCACCAGAAGCGAATTTTCCAAATTTTGCATCGGAAGTAACAACTTCATATTATAACTCATATTTTGTGAAAGTTTCATGAAAAACCGCTGAATAGTTTTCGAGAAATCGCCTGCACAAAATTTTGTCAAAAAAAGAATAAGAATAATAAGAAACAATACAATCACTATAAGGTCTTCCGTGAAGACGGAAGACCTTAATAATAAGAAACAGAGTAAAAACAATATGTTCCCCAACTTCGTTTGGGGAACATAATAATAATAATAATAAGAAACAGAGTAAAAACAATATGTTCCCCAACTTCGTTTGGGGAACATAATTATCTAAATAGGCTACTAATTATCTGAGCTTTGAATCACGTATGAAGCTGAGTGCAATGTCCGACTCTCCGGAACTTCCTCTCTATATTGGACCATATGTCACGTGATTTATATTGTAAAGTGATGTACGAAGTTTACTTAATGAAAGAAAAAGAAATCAATCCCAGTGTTATAAATCTCTCTAAAGAAGACAGACCACGGTAGAAGGTAGAGAAGCAGAAGTGACCAGTCCCCCGGTTTCAAGTTCAATGAGATGAATTTGATATTGCTTTGGATCATTGTTATATTACTGAGAACTGTTTACACAGCTAAGGAAGCGTGTATCAAGAATGGTAAGAAACAGGAATCCAGTTGTTGCCTTTATCGTGATATGTGACAAAGAATTACGACTTTAAAAATATTTTATACATTTTTGAGAGGTATCGACTAGAATATCCTAAATTTGCTTCTTCAGAGATTAAGAGATTCTGTAACATATATAAATGGTAAGTTGTTATAAATACTATAGTTTTATTCCGCTTTCTAACCTCATAAGGAAGTATTTTGACACAAAACTTCATATAGGAATTGTATGCATACAGTGCATTAAAAAAACAACAATTGATACATTATAAGTTTTACTTCTATATATAGATGTTTGACTTTTTTTGGCGAGTGAGCCTCACAGGTTCAATGGCACAGCAGCTTTTGTAATAAAAAAAATTTACTTTTGTTCATCCACAGATGTGATATGTTCACGTTCTATGGACACATCTACTAGTATTTAGTTCAAAGAACAATTTAATGTTTTTTCTTCTTTTTTGATAAAGTGTATGAATGTTATGGAATTTTTATTTTTTATTTAAATCAGCGAGAACTTAATACATATATTACAATTTGTACATGCTATATACATGTAATGTCTTTATAGGGGTTTTATGGATGGAAATAATAACAAAATCGCCTTATTTGTAAAATTTTGAAAATGCATGTGTATTTCATATAACCTTTTATTGAATATGAGAGTTTTATGATTTATTATGTCAGCTTTTGATTTGCAGACTGTCAGATCGTTTAAGTTCATTTAACAATTCTAGATATTCGAATAACTTAAATTCCACTTTGTGAACCCTGACTAGTAGTGGTTAGCGTTTTTATCTCGCAGAAAAAACTGGATTTTTATTGCTGAGTCTGGAAGCGTATTAAAAAAAAATATAGTGTCCAAGTGGCACTAGAACGTTTCAATAGCTAGGTTTCGAACCCCACAAATTCCACAATCTTTTTTTAAAATGAAAGAATAATTTTTGCCGAGAAAATTTTCTTCAGAAAAGATTAGTTTCTTATTATTTCATGAATTAAAAAACAGAGGACTTTATTCTATAAATATCTAATTCACATTTAATACAATTTTTGTACATCTGATGCATATAGGCATTCTGTACGCTTTGTTCACTCATCTTTATAATCCTTGATGAGCAGTCGGGATAATTCTCATTAATCTTTGATTTTCAGAATGTCGGGATGATTTAGGTCGATGCCTGGCCGTCAATCAGACAAATCGAGTCTGTCGAGACGTCGACGGTAACTGTCGAGCCGACGGAGATCACTGGGATTACCTCAACTGTTTGAGTTTGGAGTGTCGTAGTCACAAAATATCTGTCTTAAATGATAGTAATTATCAATAGAAATCTTGTCCATTCATTTTAAAAAAAATATTATTAAATAACAACAAAAATTAAAAATCATGAAAATTTGGATACTAGTACATGTGAATAAATCTGTGTCTTAATTATTGTGTGTAAAGTGTATCAGAATTTCTCTTTCTCGTCCCAGAATGTCTGAGTACCGATAAAGAATGTCTGACAATTACCACTGAAAATCAAATGTGTCGGGACCAACACGGCAGGTGTAGGGAGACCGGAAGTCGCTGGACACACGATTGCTTTGAGATGATGTGTCGGCAAAACAAAGTGTCAATCATAAATGTCAGTGAGTATGACTTAATGGCGGGAAATTTTATCAGAAATCAGGAGAGAACATTATATAAGCTTTTGAAAAACAGTATTTACCGGGTATTACTGCTGAAACAAAATTTTTAAATGATTTATTTTTCAGAATGCTGTGTTCGAGATTCAGTTGGTAATATTTTTCTTTCCTTCATGGTTTTAGTATAATGCAGCTTAAATTTAAAATCAAGTTTTCATAATACTGCGGTCCACTAAAAACTTGATTATGCTTTTTTTTACCTTGTACTAGCAAGCTTGGGTGAAGAGTTTCAGTGACATTTTAATTACAGATTGTGTGAAGCCAATTGTATGTCGTTCTCCTGGAGAGATCTGGAAAATCCCGGGAAATGAAACGCTCCAGACGTGCAAAATAGTAAAGAACAAAATGGGACGTTACACCTTCCAGTACTTCGTACCAAAAATATGAAAACTTTCGTGAAAGCAATGCTAAGATTTAAATATTAATGAACCTGTTGTGCTTAAATCTTATAAATGAAAAAAAAGTGTTAAACTGTTTACCATATTAATTGTTCTATGATTTAAAATAAATTTTGGATTGATGACAGGGAGAGCGAATGTAGACTGACATAATTAATAAAATATCCTATGATGATTTCCCTTAAGATATTTTAATCATGCCAGGTTATATTACAGTCTTAGTACAGTGTGATTTACATTACAGTCTGAGTTACATTACAGTGTGAGATACATTAAATTCTGAGTTACATTACAGTCTGAGTTACCATTACAGTGTGAGTTACATTATAATCTGGTTTACATTACAGTCTGAGTTACATTACAATGTGAAATACATTAAATCCTGAGTTACATTACAGTCTTAGTACAGTCTGAGTTACATTACAGTGTGAAATACATTAAAGTCTGAGTTACCTTATACAGTGTGAGTACAGTGTGAGTTTACATTACAGTCTGGGTTACATTACAGTCTGAGTTACATTACGATCTGAGTTACATTACAATCTGAGTTACATTACAGTCTGAGAACAGTATGAGTTACATTATAGGCTGAGTACAGTCTGAGTTACATTACAGTCTTAGTACAGTCTGAGTTACATTACAGTCTTAGTACAGTCTGAGTTACATTACAGTCTGAGTTACATTACAGTGTGAAATACATTAAAGTC